ATAGGAGACAGAGTGAGCAACACACCTGCTAAACAGCAGCATGTTAGCATTGTCATTGTGGGTATCTTAGCTGATGTTAGCATTTAGCTCAAACTCACATTGTGCATTAGCATAGCCTCATGGAGCTGCTAGCATGTCTATAGACTGAGTGTTTTTTCCAAGTATAGCCCACATACAAATATTTCTTCTGGCTATTTCCTATTCATTTTATGTAATTGTTATATTTGCTTAATTGGTTCATATAAACAGTCTTCTAGATTCTTCTTATCATTTACTTTATTAAAGCAGCTGAATGGCTTTGGTACAATAGTGAGCTTAATACTACGCCATGATGATCATTTCTAATTATAAAAAAAGGAAGTACAGTGTAGTCACTAAGCACTGACTGAGAGAACCATGTGCAGAAAGCTGCCAACAGATGCTGTAAATATGGATGCTGAGCTGTAAGATTACAGTTTCACACATGCACAGTATACAGTGTGACCATAAAGTGTGACTGAGAGCAGATGTCAGTCCTGACATGGTGCCACTGCTGGGCCTTGTGTGTTTGTTTTGTGTGTACGCTAATAAAGCAATTGAATGAATGGCAGACCTTCAGATCAGAGTCCAGTGGTTCCAGCAAACACACCTTTAGGGCCGTGGAGGGGATTGAACTGCTGCGGGGGTGTCAGTGACCATAAAGTTATCGAGCCGACAAAGGTCGGACAGTAGTTAGCTAAGGGGGGGATTCTGTGTGTGAGTGTTGCATTGTTGTATCCTGAACTGTTGCCAAAGAATGTTTGGTTATAGGGAAATTAGTGTTCTCTCTCTCTCAGGAAAGTCTTCATATGCTGCATTTGATAAGGGTTGGTCTGAATGCTGAACTGACTACACACAAATTCACATAAATAGAGAGAAAAGATGGATGCCATGAAATTGGATAGAATGAGTTTGTGAGCAGGAGAAAAAGGTGATAATGTGAGGTGAGATGCAATTAGGTCAGATGGGACACAATGAAATAACATGAAATGAGAGACAATGAGATCAAATGAGACACATTAATGAGGAGAAAGTATGAAGAGATGACTTGAACGTAAACAAGAGGACTTAATAAATGGGAGATGAAAAGCAAAATGAAGTGAGGTGTGATGGGATCAGATGCTGTGAGATGAGGTGAGTTTAAAAAAAAAAAAAGCGGTGGGATGAGGTAAAGTGAAATGTGTTTCCATAAGGTGTTAAAAAATTAAATTCATGAGATGAGATGTAAAGTGAAATAAACTGAAAACAAGATGAGAAGAGAAGAAATCACCTCACATTCAGTGATGTAATGAGACTAAGGCGGAAATGAGATGAAATCAGTCAATACAAGGGAAAAAGCTTTAACAACAATAGATCAGGTGAAGATAAGATAGAAGGAGGACATCATGTAAGGCTTTTGTTTTTAAAGCTGTTTTGTTCTCTTTGTAGTAAGGTTATGTCTCTTGTAGTTGTTGTTTTGTGTCTTTGCAGTTGTTTTGTGTATCTTTGAAGCTGTCCAGCCTCTCTTTGTAGTAAATGTGTCCCTTTGTAGTTATTTTGCTCATTTTTAAAGTTGTTTTAAAATGGTTCTTTATCTTCTGATTTTATAATTTTGTATAATTGTAGTTATTTTTGCTTGTCTTTGATATTGTTTTTTTCGTTTGTTGTAATTTTGTTAATCTTTGTAGTAATTTTGACTCACCTTGTATTTAATTTGTGTGTCCTTCAAAACGTTTTGTCGTTTTTTTTTATGTTATTCTGTATCTTCTTGTCATAATTTCTTGTCTCTTTAAAGTTATCTGGTTTGTCTTTGAAGTAATTTTGCATCTCTTCGAAGCTGTTTTGTCTCTCCCCTTAATCATTTTGTGTCTTTATTATGTTTATTTTTTTATTTAAGCATACTTTTTTTTTTACTCAGTAGCGGATGTGTTTTAAAATGTAGCAAATTACAATACTTCGTAAAAAAAACTACTTAAGTAAAAGTAAAAGTACAGATTTTAAAAACTACTTAAAAAGTTGTGAGTGCACAGAAAAACTACTCAATTACAGTAACGCGAGTAAATGTAATTTGTTACTTTACACCTCTGCTTTATTGTTAGTTTTTTTGTGTGTTTTTTCCCCCTTCCTCTTGTTCTTGGCTGTAGTTTTGATTGAATTCCAAATACAAAATGCTTATTACCTAAAACTGTAGTCCAGGAGCTCCCTCAGTAATCCGGGAATACTGGCTAAGTGTATAGATTTACTGCAATACAAGCACATATTATATAAAATTAGCAATGAAGAGAAATATTTAAATTAGGGTATGAATATACTTATAATCTCACCACGTACGAATAAAGTCAAATAAATAATCATTCTAATCCCTAATTATGCTCATTTATCTGCGCACTATCCTTTGACAAACTGTATCTTGGAAAAAGGCATTTTAGGACAAGAAGTTGTGCAACAAAGTGCCAGAAAGTTGATATCACAGATCTTCATACAGCTCTCGGGAATACCAGGTGTGAATAAACCTTTTCGCTGGAACAGTTTCTGTATTCATGTCATTACAAGCCCAGCTTTTACAGGAAGACTACATCAGGGATCTTACCGGATCACTTTGGGAACACAAGACTAAACATCTGCACACTATCGTCTTCACCTGCTGAATGAACTAACTCCGTGCTGATTTCTGGTAAGTACAGAAATCTAAACTTTTTACGTGCTCTGTTTTTGCATATCTGTTTTTTATTGAGTAGTGTAAAGACTGATAGATTTTTAGCAACATTGCAATGTAAAGAAAGTGTAAGTAGTTCGAATAGTACAAGTCCTATGTAGCCAGTAAGATAGCAACAAATTAAGACATTAACATAAGGAAAGTTCAGATTTAAAGTCTTATTTCAAAACAATTAAAGTTTACAATTGCTTTTTAAGGTGCAAATATGGACAGAAATACGTTCCAAATGCATCGACTTCTCCTGAGCAAACTGGCTTATTAGAGAGTTAGATGTGAACATTGACTTTTGCACATAGGCCTTAAAAAACCGCTAACTGTAGTTTTTACATTTAATTTCTTAATGGATTAAACAAATGAAATAGAACATGCTAATTAGCACCCTTTAATGAAACGTGGATTTTGTTTTTAAACCATTGGACTAAGTCAAGCTAACTGTTTTTCCTGTGTTTTCTATCAGCTTATAACAATAAGATAATATTTTAGTAAACAAATTTACATTTAGATATATGTATTTTGTTCAAAGCGATGTATATAAATGAGGTACAATCCAACCCACAGTAAACACACAGGTCCATGTATTTCTCATAATGGTGAACTACAGCTTTAACTATTTGCTCTATAAAATATTAACACATTTTCCTGTACTTTTCTCTTCTTGAAAAAAAAAAAAAACAGGCACGGGAGATCTGCTGAAAATAAGCAGCAGTGGAAAACACGGAGAAAAATGGACTCGGGGACTGATACCCCCATAGCGGGGAATGAAACAAAGCAATGCTTGTTCATCGAAGACGATGCAGGGACTTTGTTCTCGCAAATGATCATGATAGCTGAGATCATTGTAGGCCTGTCGGGAAACATACTAGCCTTGTGGATTTTTATTTTTCGCATGAAGTTCTGGAAAGCCCACATTATCTTCCTCTTAAACATGGTTCTAGCTGACTTCCTGGTCCTCATCAGCGTGCCCTTTCGCATCCACACCCATATTCGAGGGGACTACTGGGTGTTTGGTGAGGTCTGGTGCAACGCCAACCTCCTCATGCTGGCGGTAAATCGCTCTGCCAGTATTGCATTCATGACAATAGTTGCACTGGATCGCTACTTCAAGGTGATCCATCCATATCACTGGATCAGTCGAATGACTTTGACTCAGGCTGGCTGGCTCTCAGCCCTGACGTGGGTTGCTGTGATTGCATTACGGATTCCGCTGCTGACCACCAACCTCCTCCACAACGATGGCAACGTCTCCCAGTGTCGCAGCTTCAACTACTACAGTGTGATACCTGTGGGGGTAAAGATACATTACGTGGTCTTTTTTGTAGAGTTCTTCCTGCCCTGGGTCTTGCTGCTGTTCTCCTCAGCGCGGATCGCCTGCTACCTGAACAGACAGAAAAAGGAGGCACAGAAGAGGGTTCGGAGGGCCATTCGAGCAGTAGCAGTGATCAGTATGGTGTTCACCTTATGCTTCATGCCGAGTGTCATCACAGGCGTGGTGGCGTTGTTCATCAGGAACCTCTTTCCGACGAAATGCGAGCTGTACAATCGGGTCTCGCTGGTCTTCAGGGAGTGCATCAACCTGACCTACCTCAACAGCGCTTTGGACCCCTTCATCTACTTCTACTCTAGCTCCATGTTCCGTAACATTCTCAGGAGTTCCAACTGCTTCAAGAAGGATGTCAACCAAGTCCATAAATGCTGAAACACAACAAAAGACAACAAAATATGATACATTTTTAAATGGACAAACTGACTGCTCCGGAAAAAAACTGGCCTCTGTATAAACAAGTGTAGAGTCCATGAACTGTGTGATGTTTGACATGGACTCAAACCCTGTTTTTTTTTCAGAGCCAGAGCAGAAGCCTAATTGTGGTACTGAGCATCAATCCAGGGATGTTTGTCCTTTAGTAGATCATATACTGACACATACAGGATAACAACTGCATTAACTACATTCTACAAGGCAAACAAAATAGCTGACATTGTCATGGACTGGTAGCACCCTGGATAATGCTTTTAAACTGAAATAACACCAGAGAGGTTTTAAAGTACAGAAAAAAAAACTAGGTTGTATTCTGTCAGCTCACCAGTTTTCTACTATATTTGAGATGACTCTGTGGTTGTTTTGTAAAAAAGTGTTTATTATTAAAGATTTAGAACAAACTTCTCCAGCTGCTTAAATGTTTGAATTGTGTGTATTGGTATGCAGTACATAGCCTGATTGTGTATGCCAGAGTGCCAGAGATGTTGGATTGATGCAACAGTTATCCTAATAAAATATGAAAGCAATAAAATGTTAGTGTGTGGCATTCATTGCGTCTGTTTCTCTCCATACAAAATGCCTGCTAATGTGTTTCTTAGACATGTTAAAATTACCATTCAGCCAAAATAACAAAGGAAGAAACTAGTATGCATCTCATTAAATACAATGCATCAGCCATTCCTCACTGGTTGTGGGAGATGTGTGTTTTTCTGCCTGCATTGGTGGGAAAAGTACCAACACAGCAGTATAAAAGTCATCTATGAAAAAGTATGCTTGAGGAAAATTATATGACTAATAACAGCAAAATTTAATTAATGCATTAAACTAAAAGTCCTGATCAGGCCCCTCTGACTGATATACTGGACTTGTTAATACAGTAGACATCAGATAAATCTGAGGGTTCACCACATGATTAACAGGAGAGAAAAGATGACACATTGGATCATAGGAACATATATTGAAATTAAACCATGTGAGAAGTTTGGAAGGAAAAGTCACTGTTTGGTGGAGCTGTTTGTAACTCACTGTGGTTAGCTGTGAGGTGAGGTAAAGTGAAATATGTTTCCATCAGGTGTTAAAAAATTAAATGAGATGAGATGTAAAGTGAAATAAACTGAAAACAGGATGAGATGAGAAGAGATCATCTCACATTCAGAGATGTAATGAGAGTAAGGCGAAGATGAGATGAAGGGGATGAGGCTAAAAGCTTTAACAACAATAGCTCAGGTGAAGATAAGATAGAAGGAATACATCATGTAAGGTAATAGGTTTTTGTCTTTAAAGCTGTTTTGTTCTCTTTGTAGCGAAAATGTGAGCAGACTACATGCTGCTCATTGTAGGAAGCCATAATGGTTAGACATTGCTGGTTTAATAACTACCAATGTGCTGGATTTTAAAAACGTGTTATACAACATTATCCATTGTGTAAAACCTTCATCCTAAAGGGAACTAACACTCTCAATTAAGTGTAGTGGAGTCAAAAGTCCAATATTTTATCCTGAAATATAATGAGATGGAAGGATGAAGTAAATGTACAGAATTTTTTAGGTTCATTTGTAATCTCCTTTTGTCCTCGAGTTACTGTTATTTACACAGTACATTTAAAACAACGTCTGCTGCAGCGTCAATGTTCTCTTTAAGTTATGAATAAACCAAATTAAGGTTAAAACCCTGTAGAGTTATTTATGATATAGGTTTGCCTGAGTTACAGCAGAACAAAACTATATATAAAAACACAACAAATCCAATTATTCTTTTGTTTCCCTATAAACAAGCTTTCTTTTATCATTATTATTATTATCATTATTATTATTATTATTATGTTTTGAATTCAAGTAAAGCTATGTTATTTGAGCTCATTTCACCCTTCAAGACGTTTCACGCGGAACTCTTGATGACAGTCAGTGTTTCCTTGGTCCGAGCGGCAGCTGCACACATGACGTCACTGATTCATCCCTCAATCAGCGGGGAGCTGTGCGGTCAGAGGGGGACACTGCGAGGTCATCCACATGTACAATGTGTGGTCATGAAGAGCCGCTGGTTGACATGTCGTTTCACTATAAAGTGATGTGTGGGTCCGTGAAGGCTCTGCTCCTGCTGTGTTCACTCCCTCTGCTCGGTCACCCCGCTGACACGCTTTAGCAGCGCGTCGTGTAGCAACGTAGCTGACATTATTTACTAAGTCTATTGCTGCTGTTTAGCTTTTGCTAGTGAAATATAAACGTTTGTGTGGATAAGAAAAGCAGCAGCGTTGATAAAGAAGTGAAAAAACTGCGCAGAGAGAAAGTCGACCCGCGTCATGTTTATAAACCGAGCTGCGGGGGAAACGTAGTGAGCTCCAGTGGCGCAATCGGTTAGCGCGCGGTACTTATATGACAGTACACTGTAGAGCAATGCCGAGGTTGTGAGTTCGAGCCTCACCTGGAGCAGTCTTTTGAACGGGGACTGCGCCGAAGTTTTAGCTTCTTTTTGTCTTACAATTACTGGAGTGAATTTTTTTAAAAAAAAGGAACACTTTTACAAGCGAACTACAAGTTGATAAAGTTATTATAGCATAGCAAACAGAAGGAATACCTTTAAATTCGATTTCTGCGGTCATTACAAATTCAGCAACTTTATTAAACGCAGAGGCAGTAGGATGTAATACTTACAGATAACCCACTTTTCAAACAACCATCAACTGTTGGAGCTATATTTTGTTACACATTTTTATCATATTGTGTTGTGCGTCGTGCGTGATATAATTCAGTGAGCTTTTTAATCGCAGTTGCGCTTCAGTGCCAGTAGGAGGCAGCAGCTCTCCATCTGTGCACAACCAAACCCTGGTGACTGAGATCATGTCAAAATTCTTTTTTTTAAAAAAATGTTTTTTAATTTAAAAAAAAAAAAAAAAGAAGGAAATTTATTGTTATTTTGCTTTTTGTCTTTAAAAAAAAAAAAAAATTATTATTACTATTAATGTTTTTTTTATTGATCTTTTTGATGTTTTACTGTCTTTCGTAATATTTTATTGTCTTCTTTTAATGTTTTATTGCGGCTTTTTAGTGCTTTGTATATTTTAATGTTATGTAAAGCACCTTCTAACAGTTTTGTTAGCTAATTAGTCCAATTTTGAAAGTTTATTATTACAATTATTACTATTTGTCAACTACCAAAGCGCATGCCTTGCATAATGTAACCATTGGACATGTACTTACAGAAGGTTAAATGTAGATATTAAACCTGGCATTATACTAAAATATAATCATTGTCAAAAATAGTGCAAAAAGTTAGAGTTCAGTCATATAACGGAGAGATACAGAAAGTCATTCCTGCCAACAGTGATCACCTTAAAAAACAAATCTGACTGACTGACAGTTGACTGACTGAATGATTATTGTTGTTGTTGTTGTGTGGAATATATGTTATATTGATTTTTTTAAAAAAAAGAGAGAGAAAGTGAGCTTTTACAAGATTGAATTTCCCTTCTGGGATAAATACAGTATTTTCATTTCATTTCATTTCATTCATAAAGAAACTTTCATTTTTGCATTGTAAATTTGATAAATACAAAAACTAATTTCCATGAGAGTGACTAGATGGATAGAGGATAAGTGCAAAATGTGCTCAAAGTATGATGATGTTTAATAATTTGTTGCTGCATTGACGTGTTGTTTCAGTGTCCCGCCACTAGAGGTCGGTGTTGTCCACTAGTTGGACCCCCTGCTCTGGTTCCTCCTGCTTGAATGTGACTGGCTGCTTCTGCAGTTTGAATGAAAACAGTTAGTACGGTTTTGTGTGTGTGTGTGTGTGTGTGTGTGTGTGTGTGTGTGTGTGTGTGTGTGCTTTTCCCAATTCTGTGTGCGTTCTCATCTCTCTGCACATTTTACACAAGCCTGCACATATGGATGTCTGAGGAGGTTGTTTTTATTTAAATGCTGATGAAAATGTGCTGTTTGGAGGGTGTCATCTGGCTGCTCTTTGCACATAGTTTCATCTTACGTTACTGCACATTAAAATACATGAGGGTAGGAGGAAAGTTGCAGGAATATGATTGATTTTATGTATGCATGGATGGAAAAAGAGGGCAGATAGAGGTGATATAATACAATGCATAACTACAGTCAATAGGTACAACAGTTTTAACCCCAAGGTAGATGAGTGGCTGTGATGTATATTACTGACTGTCAAAAGCTCAAGAACAGAGCTAATGTAGAAAACATGGCCTGCTGAGAGACTTGCTCCATTCTGATCACTTGAGGCCAGATGCAATGAGCATGAGATCACCATTTTACAAAAAAAGGAGTCTTAAGTATGGGATGGGAATCTCACCAACACTGCTCAAGACATTACCCAGTCTCCCTCAGATCCAACAAACACACTTTGTTCGTTTTCCTTGCATTGCATTCATTGCGCTTCCTATCATCACTGCGCCGTACCTGTTTGTCCAGGAGAGTTTTTTCACTCGGCAAATGTTGTCTTTTCTCCCTCTCCTCCCACAGCTGATTTCGCTCCCCTCACTTAGCTCGCAGTGTAAACCAGCCTTCTTCTCTCAACATGTGCTTTATCTGTGTTCATTTTCAGAATAAATGTGAAAGTGCAGGGAAGGGAAAATGGCTGAGTAAACAATGAACTTGAGTCTGTTATCACTGTACGATAACAACCGTTTGCATACAACCGTAGACGTAATTACGCTAGAGGAGTTGTGATGTAGTTAAAATAGGTAAAAAAAAAAAAAAAGCTCTGTTAAAGTTAATGTCTAGTAATTTGAACCCTAACCTTTCAGTAATTGTAGTATACAACATTTTTAGAATGTCAGAGTAACCTCTCACTATAGTGTATGCTAAAGGGTTAGAACTGAGCCACTTAGCTTAGCACATGTAAGCATGTAGCCTATACAGCCTATGCAGTACATGCTAAAGTAAAACATACGGTTACTTAGCTTAACACATGCCATAACGCTAGCGTGGAGTCTTGTGTCACTCAGATTTGTAAATGTAAACTGTGTAAATATGTACAATAACTGAAACTCATTGTTTCATGGTAGTGAGCTTAGCACACCTTAAAGTGCTAGCATGGCACCTACTATCACAGTATAGAGTACAAACAGTCAACTTAGCATATGCTAAAGTGTTAGCGTGAAGTCTACTGTCATTCATCTTAGCATGTTAGAGTGTTAGCATGGAGCTTATCATCACTTATCATAATATGCTAAAGTGTCATTTATGTTAGTGTGCTAACATAGTGTGTTAGCATGGATGTCATTCATCTCAGTACACTTCAGTGTTAGCATCTAGCTTACCATCACTTAACTTGTATGCTAAAGTGGTAGCATGAAGTCTATTGTCATTTATCTTAGTATGCTAAAGTTTTATCCATAGACTGTACAAGAATTATACAGTCTATAGTTTTAGCATGGTGTGTACTGTCAGTCATCTTAGTATGCAAAAGTAGAATGGAGTCTATACTCAGAACAAATGTTCACAATGTTTGTTCACAGTGTTTGCATCGATTTTTGTGCATATTTTGCCAAATCACTGTTGGACATTGTAC